ATGGAAAAAAGTTAATTTTAGTTTTTTATTTATAAAAAGTATTTTTATATAACCTAAAATTTATAATTAATAATAATCATACAAAAATAAAAATAGATAATGTTGGAATTATTTTTAATGGATGAGGACATTTTTGAAATAAAAATAAAAATTTTCTTAAAAAAAGGCGTGTTTTTAAAAAAAGAGAAGAGAAAGCTCCTCCTTGGAGATTTTTCTAAAGCTTTTTTTTTTCAAAATTTGTTCTTAAAAAAAAAGTTACTTATTTTTTTAAGAGTTTTTCTAAATTTTTGTTTGGCCTGACTTTTGCTTTTAAGATATAGATAAGCTGAAAAAACGTCAGGCCAAACAAGCACTTAATAAACTTTTTTGAGACTTAAGAGAAAATATTACATCTTCCATTATAAATTTTATTCCTCAAGGTAGTAAAATATTAGTTCTTTTGGAGCCTTCAATTAATCTTATACTATCAATTATTATATTGACATTGATTTTTTTTTTGTCAAGTGAGAAAAATATTTCTTGTCTTTAAATATATTGTGTTTTGTAACAATGTCTGTTAGACATATATTTACATCATAGATCTTGGATCTAACAAGACGAATATCCATATTTTCTTCAATAAAATAAAATATATCCAATAAGAAATTTCAAGTTAACATAAAATAATATTAAATATATAATTCAAACACATAATAAGAACATATCATTTAAATATAATGAAAATATATTAAAGCACCTTCATAATATAGTTATAGTAAAATATATCAATTACTATTAAGTTCATTCTTAAATATTTTCATTACCAATTAAATGATTAATTCCTTATTTAGGACAAGATAATCAATAATGTATATTTCCATTACCAATCATATAATTAATTCCTCCTTTAGAATGGACAAATATCTTAATATGTTATATCAACTTGGCCATAATGAAAATCATCACAAGATGTTATAGTTTTCGATGATGCTTGATAAAATTCAAGACGTGTTATATCAACTTTGTCATGATTAAAATCATCACGAGATATTGTAGTTTTCGGTGATGCTTGCTAAAATTTAAGACGTACTATGTGACCAATGGTCTTTCATGCCACATTAATGACAACATGTTTTCTACATTCCTTTTTTTGTTTTCATTTTTATCTTTTTTATTATTCATCTAATTTTGGTGGGTTAAAAGTATTCATCTACTTTTGGTAGGTTACAAGTATCTATCCACTTTTAATGAGTGATCCGCTCCTCGTGGGTCAGTGAGTTAAGGTGTCCATCAACTTCTGGTAGTAAACTTATCCACTCACTTTTGATAGTAAAATTATTTATCCATTTCTAGTGATAAAATTATTCTTAGATTCTAATGGTAAAATAATCCATCCACTTCTACTGGCGAAATTATCTTTAATTAAAATATTGATAGTGTAAATTACTATGACCATCACAATTATTAAATGATGTTGCATTCACTTCAAAGAATGGATAGATTTATTATTATAACCATAATTATTAAATGATGTCACATTCACTTTAGAAAATGGATGAATTTATAATTTTTTATTAGTAACTCGTTTGTTGCATTCACTTCAAAGAATAAACATTCATAATTTTTCATTAATAGTTATATAATAGAAAATTCACTTTTCAATCAAGAGACAAAATATAATATATACAACATGATAGTACAATTCAAATTAAGGTTGATTTTTAAAGAATGAAAATACTAAAGAGATATCAAGTCACTTACTTGATTTTTTAAAATCAGAAATCAAAACCCAAGCATTGAAATCCTTTTGAAGCTAGAAGATGATGAAAATATAATAATTCTAAAACTTGAGAGATAAGAGAATTGTACTGATAATGTCGTATGAAATAAATCTGAAAGAGCAACTATAAGAGAAATATAAGAGAAATATTTAAAGGAAAAGAAAGTATTTAAAGAGAGTAAGAAGATCTTATTCAAGTGTGTAGTTACAAATGAAGTACAACGGCCTATTTATAAGCTACCAACCTTTTATCTAGATTGAATTTATAAGATGAGGATAATATTAAGGGATTAGATGAATTAAATCTTAATATTCATCAAATCTAATTTACATTCAAATCTAGATTTACGTGATATAAGTGAGTATTCCAAAAAATATTCATAACACATTTTTCCTTTTTTTGTTCATAATGCCCAAATGAAAAATAAATTATTTCACATCTTTTAGTCACATCACAAATTTAATGGCATATCATTTATGCAATGCGAAAATCCTATCTCGGCTTGCAAAGAAGGTTAATCACAGTATTAATTTACATGATATGTTTCATCTAAATAAGAGTAGTTCAATTGGTTTTACATTATAGTTTTCTTAAAAGGATTTCTAAGTTGATTACAATTTATAGGAGAAAAGGGAATTAGATTAATCAAGTATAAACATTTTAATAAGCACATTCTAAGCAAAATGAGTAACAAATAATCAGACTTGTGCAATAAGGGCTTGAAGCATGATTCATGTGTTGATATTCTTGCTCAGAAGAGAATGCAATGCTTCTTGCCAATTAAAGAAAGTTGAATGCCATTCTTTTCTTGTTTGATTAATGTTTTAGTTCCCTTGGCAGCTAGGTTTGGTACGGTATCTGCCTATAAAGTTGGAGGCTCGGAGATCCTTCATCTTTGTAGTTAATAGTTCTCAAAGACTAGCGATGGGAACTCAAACCAACAGTAAAAATATGGGATTGCAGGCAGAGCACCCCGAATCCAAATCTGTTATTAAATCACTGGTATTAAAGGCAAAGGACCCCAAATCCAGATCACTGACTAACATTCTGGGAGGGGGAACAGGTATTTAATTAATCGTTAAATTCATAGTATTCTTTTCTAGCTATATAATTATTATGTTATTAACTTTCAAAAAAAAATATATATTATGTTATTATGTTATGAAACTGTATAGTTGCGGGGTTACTGCTATGGGAGCATGCGATCTCGTCAGCAACAGTGATATGTATTGCAACTGAAATATGGGTTTTGTCGACGATAATTGCGGAAAATTGGATTGCTCAAGCATTGCTTCGAATCATTGCTTTCGTGCTTCTCAACCTCGTCAGTTTGGCTCTTGTGTCCGTCTTCACTGCCTTTTACCTTGACAAGTGCGTTCAAGGGGCGATGAATTCTTATTTGACAAAAGTTGACAGGTAAGTCAAGCATTTGCAGACATCGCCTTAAGAAAGAAGAAAATGGTTAATGAGAAATCACATTTCTTTTAAATCTGAAACCTTACTGCTGGTGTTTGTGATAATTTTAAAACACTTGAAAGCACCTGCTGATTAATAATTTAATCTACAATCTGCAGAGATATTGGTGAAGTAATTGACAATTACGTCCCAGAATCGGTGGTGAACTTTGCGAAAAAGGCTAATGAAGTTATAGACTTTGCGAGAAAGACTAAGGAAGATTTCTTTGGAAGCCGAGACAGTAACGTTAAGCAAACTCCAAGCAAGAACCTAAGAGATACCATCAAAGAAACCATTAAGAGCAGTTTAGATGGGGCATTGTGGCCCGTATATGAGTCAGTTCTACTAGGTTTGGCAGCAATTGTCGAGGATAACTTGTCTGCAATTTTTCATTCAAAAATAAGCCAAGAGTTCCTGCAGATGCTTCTCATGATTTCAGAAGGAAGTCAGAAGAAGACCTTCTATGGGGTGAGCAAATGACCCAGTTACTTCTATTTTTTTCTAGTAAATATTAACAGTTATTTTATCTTAACTCAACAAATTGTATTCTTATTAGTTGCATGCCTTTCAGGTTGTTGCTTCTCTCCAGGTTATCTCTATTATGTGTATATTTTTACCTCCAACCACTGTCCTGTATATAGGTAAAAATATATATATCATTCACTCTTATAATATGCATAATTTATATCTCTTCTAATAACATATGTTATAGGAATTCCGAATTTCATAAATTAAAATTTTATCTTCTTTTAACACACCTAACCTAATGTGTAGATTATGGATATATAATAATATTATCATGAATGAACTTAAATTTTTTTTTTCTCTTTTCTTATTATAGTAATTGTCTGTATCTAGGATATCTGTGCGTGGCGACTTTGCCAGCATTATGCAACAAGTTAAAGATTTCCACTGTGCTCGAGAAGAATTTCGAAACAAAGTTAGACAAGATTTCTGGCAATGATGAGTCCGTACCTAAAAGATCCTGAAGCTTGGCATTATGACAATTTGCATGTTCACAGTCTGATTCCTCTGCAATGGTTATAATATTGAATAAAATAATTGCAATAAATAAATTTCTGTACATATATCCCATCAGAATTTGGGAAAATAAATAAATTTCTGTACATTTCTTATCAATTGTTCACACATTTCCTGTCTATTATATCCATTTATTATAAATTTTTAATCTGATGCATCTTTTAATTTCTTGTATACCTCTAAAATTCATTGCCATATCCCCATTCTATCCATCCTACTTGAGTTGGCTCCTATGGCTGAATAAATAA